ATCTCAAATAAGAAATTAAGTCTAATTTTAAAGATTAATTAAGATCAATCAGAGACTGTATACAATCCAAACCGATAATCAGTTTCCAACTTGAAAATCCAGGACCACCACACCCAAAACCAGCCCCCGATAACCATGTATATATCTTATTTTCTTTTTATTTTAAGAAATTTTTGGTAGGGAGAGAAAAAATTACTACTCCTCCCCCGCTGTTTCTTGCCGACAATATAGCTAATCTAATATTGGAGTAACAAGTAAATAAAGTTACGAAAATAGTGTCTATCCACTTTATTTCTTAAAAATTATGAAAAAAAATTATTTTAAAATTACGTCATTTTAATAAATTTTTATTAAAAAAATTCATTTTAAAACTGCATTATTTCAATAAATTTTTATTAAAAAAATTAAAATACCATATTTTTAAATCATGAATTAAAGTATCTTTTATCTTTTAATGTAGTACTTGATTAAAATTACATAATTTTGAAACAAGTTTTCTCTCAATTTTTATGAAGTAAAATGAATAAGTATTAATTCCTAAAGTTCTAATGTATATATAATAAAAACAAAAATATGAGTCATATTCTTGACTCAGAATTTATATACTACATAATTTATAATCTAATAATATATTAGATTGTTATTGACTTAATACATAGTTAATGTGATATTATTATAATGTGACAAAACTATAATTATACTTTTTAATTGGATTAAGAACTGATTAAAGTTATAAATTCTAATATCATCACAATTATGTGATGTAACAACTAATAAAATTTTGAGAAAAAAGTAGTTAATATTAATCAAGTGAAAGTGTTGTAAGGTATTTCATTTATAACTACTAAGCACCACAAATATAATAAAGAGTGAAAATTTCGAAACAAAAAATAATTAATAATAACCAAGTGAAATCGTCATGAGTGAGGCATTCCTTTTTCTTTTTCCTTTTTTTTTTAACATTGAAAAATTATGAAAATAAGAGAAATTTTTTAAGTTATTGATGAAAGTAAAACTCTTAATTAATAAAATTCAAGTACTTGAATTTAGAAATAAATCACTGAGTTCAATGAATTAATTCGAGTGAGACATTTCCTTTATAACTACTAAGCACCACAAATATAATAGATGGAGAAAATTTCATTGACTTACCGGCATATAAATACAACTAATAAATAGTACCACCAAACTTCAAAACCACTCATGGAAGTCAAGTAAGAATACGATTTTGATCCGCATGTTTCGGCCAAGTGATATTAACCTAATTTAATGGAATCACCTTTATAGATTACAATTTCGAAATTTATGGATCTTTTTTTTTCATATCCTCTTATCCCTTTCTTTAATTGTAATCATGTTAAAAAATAAAAAAGAAAAAAA